AATTAGTAGTTACTACTTTACTAGGTAGTTAATAAAAATAATTAGGAACTAACCTTCTATTATCCATTGTTGGTTTCAGAAATTCCAAAATATAGGAATAAATATACTTTTTAATTATATTAGCAGCTTGCCCTGATTTTGTGATACATTTCCTCCGATAAGTATCTTTTAAATTTTTCCATTTTTTCTGGAGTACAATTACTGTAGGTAAATAATAGGTAGGTATCATAGATATAATTTGTGGTTTATTATTATTAAAGTGTGTAATTCATAAGTATAATAGCATTAATTACTTTGTTTCTGCTTCTCTGTCTCTTCAAGAGTTTCATAATTCTTCAAAACAGTTTTTGCAACTTTCACCCAACTTACGTGCTTTGCGACCTTATCATGATATTCTTTGGCTTCTATAAAAACAATACGATATAAATAATAGAATGTTTCTTACCTATATAAAATTAAAAATTGAAATTTTCAATCTTTTTAGATTTTATTTTAAATGATAATAAAATTGTATTCGTTTGGTAAAAAAGCTTCAAAATGTAATACAATGCTCTTTATAAATTGCTACGATAGTAGTTAAAAAATATTAAAAATACATGAATYKYTCAATGCAAAAAGTCCATAATTTTCATAAAATTACATACAGTCACAATTTGTTTTTAAAAAGTATTTCAAATTCGAATTTTGACAACATACGTAAAAATAACGAAAATTTGCAATATTTTTCGAGTTAGAAATTCAGTGTGAAACCACCTTTAAAATAGTTTAAAAAAGCGGGAAAGTGGGTATCGCTCTGCTATACATTAGGTAGTGGGGTGGACCTCTGACTAGGGTAGGTTAGATTTGAATGCAATGATAGGTATCATTGCATACGAAAAACGATTCTGAACGGAGATGATTTGTCAGTCTAAGATATATTACATTTAAATATTGTCATATATTCTATATTGAGACAAATATTTTATTTTTCAATTAAGACACCCGCATATGTTGTCTCCGTCTTACAWGTGCTTAACATAGCAAATTTTATGCTCAGCAGATCACAAAATACACATAACTCACTTTAAAATTAAAATATAATAAAAAGCCTACGTCTTGCCCTCGATAATAATGTTGCCTTTAATTTTTGTAACAGGTCAATTTACTCTAAATATTAAACTAACGGAGCTAAACGTGATCTGCTGTGCATAAAATTTGCCATGTTACGCACTTGTAAGACGGAGACAACGTATGCGGGTGTAGCGTCCTCTTAAGACGCATTTTGCATAAGTCATGGTTAATCAATTTTTCTAAAAACATTGCATGTAGTGATCATAATTCATAATACCATATATAATCATAAATATACATATACCTGGCTTGAGGATAAATCATTATCGTTACGCGATTTCATAAAAATTTAAAAATCAAACGCTCAAAACATTTTTCCTATAATAACGCTTCAAATTGTTTCTATAGCTATATTTGAAGCAAAACTTAGTTATTAAATGGACGTCTATGCTGCTATAATTGAGTGAGGATTAGAGAAGTGTTTGATACTTGGTCAACCGGAAAAAAATTAAATTATGATTATTTCCAATAATAAGCGGGTAATTGGGTAACATTTTGATGTACATTAAGTGTCTAGGGATCAAAGAGTCACTATAATGGATGTGTTAAATTTGAATTAAGGATCATTGTACCCGAAAAACGATTCTGAGCGAGTACGGTATCTTTAAACGAAGGTTGATTAGCTGAAGGTCGAGCTATCGAGGTGCAACAGGAAATGGCTCGGTTGCAATCGGATATTGAAAACCATATTGAATGTTGTTTCTCTTTCGAAATAGTTCAATTGTTGTCGTACTAAACCAWTCCCSGAGATTTTTTAACCAAGATATCCACCAACACTTCTTTTGCCTTCTATTTTCCTTTGAATTTGAAGTTGCATCAATCTTTTGTTATTCTTCATTATGTGACCCAGGTATTCTTATTTCTTTGTTTTTATAGTCCTCAGTATATTTTCCTTTTACTTCTGCATTATTTGTAGTGCATACACGTTCGATACTCAATCTGCCCATGAAATATTGACTTCATTCCATCACCACTTTCATTAAGAATCCTTCCTCAGTATGCAAGGCAGCATGTTGAAGGTATTGTCAATTATAATGTGAGTTACATACCCTCACATCAAGAATATATTTTTTCCACTGGAATTAGGTACTTTCCACCAGTATGAGTTCCATGCCCCTGGTGCGCTAAACCCGTAGCACTATGTGCCCGC